TTCACCATGTCAGTCAGGCTGGTCTAGAACTCCTGATCTCGTCATCCTCCCACCTCGGCTGCTGGGATTACAGGCGTGAGCCACCGCACCCAGCAAGACAAAACTTTTTAAAGCATCCAGAGGTTGCAGTGAGCCAAAATTGCTCCGCTGCACGCCAGCCTGGGCAGAAGAGCGAGACTTCCTCTGTCTCAAGAAAAAAAAAAAAAGACTAACTCATGATAGACTTTGGTAAGTGAAAGATGCATGTTGTAAGCTCTAAAATAATCTACTATCATCTTTTAAAATAACTCCAGACTGCACAGTCACAAAACTAATAGAGAGGGAGGAAATTGAATAATAAAAATAATAAATGCAAAACAAGATGTAAGAGGAGACAAGAAGAAACAGAATAGGCACAGAAAACAAATTGGTGGTGGCTTTCAACCCAAATAAATTGGTAGTTACATTTAAAAGGCCAATCAATAAAAATTAAAATAATTGAAAATAAAATAAAACCCAACTAATGTGTTTTATAGAAGAATACAGAAAGGTGGAAAATAATGAAAAATATGTCATGCACATACTAGCCAAGAAAAGCTGTATAACCTTTTTTTTTTTTTTTTTTTTTTTTAAGACGCAGCCTCATTCTGTCTCCCAGGCTGCTTGCAGTGACGTGATCTTGGCTCACAGCAATCTCTGCCTTCTAGGCTCAAGTGATTCTCCCACCTCAGCCTCCCAAGTAGCTGGGACTACATGTGTGCCAACTTAGAATTATATTAGCCACACTCAGCTAATTTTCGTATTTTTTGTAGAGGCAGGGTCTCACCAAGTTGCCCAGGCTGGTCTTGAACTCCTGGGCTTCATCGATCCACCCATCTCTACCTCCCAAAGTGCCGAGATTACAGGTGTGAGCCACCATGCCCAGCATAACTATTTTTAATGAAGTAGACTTTAAGAAGAAAAGTATTATTAGAGATAAGAGACACATCATGGAAAAGAAGTTACCAGCAGCCAGGTGCGGTGGTTCACGCCTGTAATCCCGGCACTTTGGGACGCTGAGGCAAGCAGATCACCTGAGGTTGGGAGTATGAGGCCAGCCCTTGCAACATGTCAAGACCCTACTAAAAATACAAAAATTAGGCCGGGCGCGGTGGCTCAAGCCTGTAATCCCAGCACTTTGGGAGGCTGAGGCGGGTGGATCACGAGGTCAAGAGATCGAGACCATCCTGGTCAACATAGTGAAACCCCGTCTCTACTAAAAATACAAAAAATTAGCTGGGCATGGTGGCACGTGCCTGTAATCCCAGCTACTCAGGAGGCTGAGGCAGGAGAATTGCCTGAACCCAGGGGGCGGAGGTTGCAGTGAGCCGAGATCGCGCCATTGCACTCCAGCCTGGGTAACAGGAGCGAAACTCCGTCTCAAAAAAAAAAAAAAAAAAAAATACAAAAATTAGCTCGGCATGGTGGTGCGAGCCTGTAATTCCAGCTACTAGGGAGGCTGAGGGAGGAGAATTGCTTGAACCCCGGAGGCGGAGGTTGTGATGGGCCGAGAGGGTGCCATTGTCCTGCAGCCTGGGCAACAAGAGCGAAACTCAGTCTCAGAAAAAATAAAAAGAAGTTACTAGCTAGTTTCAGTATTAACATTCAGGAAACTGGAGGTAAAAATCCAGAACTTAACATCCAGGAAACTGGATGTAAAATTTTTTTTAGAGAAACTAAACTGATAGGTTATACATAGACAGAGAGAGATTTATTTTAGGAATTGGCTCATGTGATTGTGGGGACTAGCAAGTTTAAAATCTATAGGGCAAGCCAGCAGGCTATAAATTCAGGTAAGAGCTGATCTTGAAGTCTAGAAGCTAAGATCTGCAGAGCAGCCAGCAGGACAGGTGCCCAAGCAGGACATCTGTGTTACAGTCTTGAAACAGAATTCCTGCATCTCTAGGAAACCTCAGCTTTTGCTCTTAAGGCCTTCAACTGATTGGATGTGGCCCATATGATGGTGGGTAATCTGCTTTACTTCAAGTCAACTGACTGTCCATGTTAATCACATCTATGAAATAACCACCCAGTAAGATATTGACAAGCATTTGACCAAATAACGGAGCACCATAGCTTAGCCAAGTTGACTGACACAAAAATTAACCACCAGGAGTGAATAGAATGTCCAAAAAACCAAAACACTAGGGGTACTCTATCTTATATAGCTATCATAGTTATGTAAAACATGTAATTATAGAATGAAGATATTAAGATAACCATCAGAACAAAAAGAAAAACTTTTTTTTTTTTTTGAAACCAAGTCTTGCTCTGTCACCCAGGCTCAAGTGCAGTGGTGCAATTTTGGCTTACTGCAACCTTTGCCTCTCGGGTTCAAGAGATTCTCCTGCCTCAACTTCTAGAGTAGCTGGAATTACAGGTACCTGCCACCATGCCTGGCGAATTTTTGTATTTTTAGTAGAGGCGGAGTTTCACCTTGTTGGCCAGGCTGGTTTCGAACTCCTGACTCCAAGTGATCCACCCACCTCGGCCTCACAAAGGGCTGGGATTATATACGTGAGCCACCACGTTCAGCCAAAAATCACCGTTTTTACAAAGATCCAAACAGACATTATGCTGGAGATGAGAGACCTCACTATCACCATGCTCCTTTTGCACATCTACTAGGCGCAGTGCTGGGATCAGACTCACATAAGCCTTAGGGACCCACACCTAGGGGCTCTGGCTGTAGCAGAATCCAAAGAATAAAAGCTGGTGCTGATAGAGTAGGAGACAGGGCGGGGCACGGTGGCTCATGCCAGTAATCCCAGAGGCTGAGGTGGGCAGATCATGAGGTCAACAGATCAAGACCATCCTGGCCAACATGGCGAAGCCTGGTCTCTACTGAAAATTCAAACATTGCCGGGCGTGGTGGTACACTAAGTTTGGCATCAATATGGTGACCTCCCGGGAGTGGGGGACCACCAGGTTGTCTAAAGAGGGGTGAACCGGCCCAGGTCTGAAATGGAGCAGGTCAAAACTCCCATGATGATCAGTAGTGGGATCGCACCCGTGAGTAGCCACTGCACTCCAGCCTGGGCAACATAGCATGACCCCGTCTCTTAAAAAAGAATAAATAAATAAAAATAAAAATAATTCAAAAAAATCCAAAAATTAGCTAGGCGTGGTGGCATGTGCCTATAGTCCCAGCTACTTGGGAGGCTGAGGCAGGAGAATCGCTAGAACCCGGGATGCGGAGGTTGCAGTGAGCCAAGATCATGCCACTGCACTCCAGCCTGGTGACAGAGCCAGACTCTGTCTCAAAAAAAAAAAAAAAAAAAAAAAGAGTAGGAGACTGGACTCTGGGAGGGCCTGCTAGTGAGAGGTGAGCGCAGAGGGGAGAGATGGAGGCAGGAGCATGGGCTTCTGGTGGCCCCAGCAGACCCTGTGGCAGCATCTGGCCAGGGGCCCCTGCAGGGAGGCATCTTGGCCAGGAGGACGCTGCAGCAGGCCTCTCGCTGAGGCCCGTAGCCAGCCCGGCCAGGGTCCCAGAGTCCAGTGACCCCTGTTCTGCAGCAGCAGCTGGGGCCAGACCCAGGCTCTTTTCCACTCCCAGCTTCTTAAAACAGGAAGTGGAGAGAGTCATTTGACAAAACTACGGTTGCAAACCACATCCTATCTCTTCACCAAGGGAGAATTGGAGGGAGTGTGGGCGGAGGAAGCATTAGAGCAGAGATCCCTACTCAACCACTGACTCTCACGTCCCCATTCCCAAAGGCCACGTGCCCACGGGTGGTCTCTGGTGCCCAAGACCCCAGTCTCATTCGCATCTTTGCGACTTTAAGTTTAAGAGGGTGCCACATTTCTGTACGTCTTCCTGAGCAGAGAAGCAGCACTGCCCGGGGTGGCCTCTGACGTCAATCCCTCGAATCCCCTGGGAACCACCGGGGAGACCAAGCAGTCACCAGCCCCCACTTGTCCCTGAGCTGCCATTCTCAGCCCTGGGGAAGGAGACAGAAAGCCCTGAAGCCAAACCAAAGGACCAGGTCACGAGGGGCTGGAAGGTGGCATGAGTAATCGGGGCAGGGAAGGATGGACAGATGGGGGAATGGAGGGAGGAAGGAATGAATGAAAAGGTGAATGAATGAACAAAGAGAGAGAACAGCCTCCTTTGCTTTAGTGCTGTTCGCTTCAGTTTACAAAGCACTGGAACCCTTCCAATAGCCTGCAAGACAGAACTTCTGGGAAGTAGACCAGGTGGCTGGCTGGGAGGGGATGCCTGCTGTGGCTTTTGTGGGCCCAGTGGGAGGCTGGGGGCAGGAAGGGGCATCCTGTGCCTTCCACTCTGCAGCGGCAGCAGCGGAGGCCTCCCTTGGGCTGGGCTTCCTGGAAGAGGGTCAGGAAACACCCCCTGTCGCCCCTCTCCACCACGCTCTCATCCAGGGCACCAAGTATCAATTACTCAGCTCAGGGGACCCAGGCCCTGACTCAGGGAGAGGGGATGTGAGGGGTGGGGCTCTGGGTATCCCAGGACTCAGAGATCACAGATGTGGCCAGTGCTGGGAGTCGGGGCAGATGGGCTGTGGCAGCATTTTATGGACCCCAGCAGTCCAGTACCCACACAGGGAGCCTCTGAACCCCTTCACCTATGACATTGGGAGAAGACCCCAGCCTTGGAGAACTGGAGGGGCCTGCGCCAGCCAGCAGGGTCAGGCAGGGCCAGACCAGTTCCCAAATGGGATATGCAAATGGGCCTACTGAACCCTGGAGCCAGGCATAGACTCACACACCACCATTGTCCCTAAATCCCCATCTGCCCCACAGGCACACCCTGCCACCTGTTCTGTGCAAGGAACCTGAGGCTGCCTCCTGGTGCCCAAGCCCTGCAGGCGGTGAAGCCCAAACCCACATGGCTCTTGCTTCCTGGGCCAATGCACGTGCACGCGTGCACACACACACACACACACACACACACACACACCCCTTCTCCAGGAGGGGCTCGCTGCCAGCAGCCACCCCGCTCCCTCCCACCTCCCACTCACCGTCCAATATCCGAGCAGACCTTCGAATCAGCAGCAACAGCAGCGTGGGCAAAGGCCTGGGGGCCACAGGGGACCTGGTGGCCAGAGAGGACCACAGCCAACACAATGACAGCCAGCGCCAGCCCCAGCCCCAGCAGGGCCAGACCGACCGTGGTGCCGCAGCCCCGCGCCATGGCTTCGCAGCCCAGGAGGAGAGGGGAGGCCAGTGGGCAGACAGAGGGACAGATGGGTAGGCAGATGAAGGGACAAGAAGATGTACAGATAGACTCGCAGGTAATTGGACAGATGGACGAACAGTTGGGGCTGGAGACAGACACGAAGATGGACTGACAGTCCAGATAGCTGGACAGAGAGGACGGTAAGAGAAAGATGGTCAGATGGAGACAGGCTTACAGATGGGGGACAGTTAGACAGGTCTGAACCGTGGGCTGCCAGATGGACAGACGGGTGAACAGATAGACGGCTGGTGGCCGGCAGCTGTGGCGAGCTGCTGCCTTCCCCAAGTGCACACTACGGAGTGGCCGAACTCACGCCTCTACTTCCAGTTTTCAGTTCATGCTTGTTCCTGGCAGGAGATCAGCAAAGCTTTAGAGGGGAGTTTTCCTTCTGCTGTAACTCCCCTACATGTGGTAGGTCCCAAGGCCCCGCCTGCTACCCGCCAGAGCCCAGGGCCACATTGTCCCAATGTGCTTGAAAAGTGGCTGCTGCACTGCGGTTGCTAGGTGGGGGCAGGGCTCCCAGGAACCTCCACACCATTCCCTGGGTTCCTGGCAGCTCCCAAGAAAGCAGAGCTGGGGCCACTCAACTCTCTCCCCCCACCAAAACGGCCAGCCTTCCCCCCTCCCAGAGTGGAGCCCCACCCCCAGCTCCCACCTCTATCCCTAACCCTCTCTGCATGGCCCAGCCCAGGCAGCCTCAAGATGGAGCTGAACAGAGACAGAGAGAGAGGGACCCAAGGTAGTGTCACTCAGGACCTGGGTTCAAGTCCCTATGCTTCTGCGGCCTGGCCTGGGTCTCCCAGTTCCCCACGGTGACCAAGGGCTTCCCAGTCGGCACTGAGAACAGGCAGACTTGAGAGCACCAGACACCGATGACTACAACACGCTCATGTGGGGAATGCAGACAGACCATGTCTCTAGCCCTTGGCACCGGGACCATCCATGCCTGGGACTTGCTGTCCTGGAAATGCAGCATGGGCCTCCAGGGAGGGAGGCTGAGCCGCCTGGGTGCCATGCCACACCCCCGCCTGCAACTCTTCCCCACCTTGGCTTCGGGTCTGCTTTCCTGAATCCAAATCCGCTATTACTGTGTTCGCAGTGCCTCCTCTCTGGGGACACTGGCCTGGCCCTGTCCTCCCCAGGCCTCAGGGTGTTTAACTGGGAGGCAACCAGGGCAGTGAGGACCCACTGAGGGGCTCCGTTGACCTGGCTCAGCCAGGGTGCAGGCAACGAGGGCTGGACACCTTCCCAGGCGGCCCCCCCAGGCCTCCCCAATTCCTTCCCAGCTGAGCACTGCCGGCTCCAGATGTCTACACCTGGAGTCAGAGCCCTCGACCTGGACAGCAGAGAAGCTGAGGCACAGAGACAGACTGTGTCCTTACAGGCCACACGGCCTGCCAGGCCCCTATGTTCAGCCAGAGCCCCTGTCAGCTTGGGCTGGAGTGGTTGTTTAGAGGCAGGCTGTTCCCACGGCTGCCTCTCGCAGTAGGGGGCCTGTGGACGCCTCCTCCCACCCCCAACCGACTCACAAGCCTCAGTGACATTGCTCAATCAGGAGCCGAAGCACATTCCTGGGCCCCGGCCAGGCCACCCACCCACCCGCTGCAGCCCTCGAAGCCCAGAGGCCAGGGCAGCAGGGACAGCGGCGACAGCAGCTTGGGGGATGCCCCCCCTCCTCTCCCCACCATCCTGGTCAGGCAGAGGCCAGGGTGCAAGGACTGCCTGAGCAAAGGCCCAGGGAAAGGAATGGGTGTCATTCTGGTCCTGGCTAGAGGCACAGCAAGGGACATCCCTGAATGTCCTTACTCAGGAAATGATGGCGGCAGGGGCGATGAGAAGGAAAGAGAGGATTTAAGTCCTCTACCCCCGAGATAGTCCTGGGCTGAGCCCCAGAAAACCTGGAGAACCATGCTGTGCCCCACCAGTGTGTCGGGTCCTGGAAGCCTCGTGGCCAGCTCTGATTTCTCTTGCTGCTGCACAACCCAGAGCAGGGCCTGCCCCTCCAGCCTCAGTCTTCTCCCCTGCAAATGGGGCCACAGCTTTTCCTCTCAGGCTAAAATAAGGATTGAGACCGGGTGCAGTGGCTCACCCCTGTAATCCTAGCACTTTGGGAGGCTGAGATGGAAGGACTGCTTGAAGTCAGGAGTTCAAGACCAGACTGCTCAATAGAGTGAGACCCCATCTCTATTTGTTTAAATAAAATTTTTTTTAAAAAATTACATAGGCCAGGTGCAGTGGCTCATGCCTGTAATCCCAGCACTTTAGGAAGCCGAGGAGGGCGAATCATTTGAGGTCAGGGGTTCAAGACCAGCCTGGCCAACATAGTGAAACCATGTCTCTCATAAAAATTGAAAAGAATTAGCCAGGCATGGGTGGCGGGCACCTATAATCCCATCTACTTAGGAGGCTGAGGCAGGAAAATTGCTTGAACCCAGGAGGCAGAGGTTGCAATGGGCTAAGATCATGCCACTGCACCCCAGCCTGGGCAACTGAGACTGTGTCTCAAAAAAAAAAAAAATTAAGTACATAAGGATTGAGGAATCACTTGTACACCAGTTAAGCCCACCTCCGTCTCACCCCTGGGGAGTCCCAGAGGCAGAACCCTCCAGGGCTCAGACCCAGTAGAACTCTACTCGGCAGGCACAAAACCCTGTTTGCCTGTGGCCCTTTGCAATCACCAGCTTTTCCGGCTCCTTAAGGAGAGCCATGACGTGGTCCCTGGCCCCAGTGCCCCTGGCAATATCCAGGTGCTGGGCTGTGACCACCCCCCCTCACCAGCCCAGCTCCACCAGCCTTGCCCAGAACCCCACCCCAGTGTTGGAAAACTTGTGTGCAGAGGACAAGGGAGCAGGCCCCGAGGGAGGCCTGGCGGGGCTGCCGATGGTGAAGGGCACGGTGTCTAGCTGTTCCCTTCCAGACCCACTCCCTCTGGGCTGTGTCCCCAGCTGGGCCAAGCCCTGATCCCTGGGATCTGGGGGCCTCTTCCAGTCTGCTGTTCCCTGAGAACCAGGCCTCCCTCTGGAGAGGATCACAAGTTTGGGTTTCATTCTGGGCTTGCACTTGGAAAGCCCCCCCCAAGGTCTTGGCTCTGACTGGGATGTTTTGCTCCAGCCTCTTGCTCAATCCCCACTCCTCAGACCTCGGCTTCACCTCCCCGTGTCCTCGGCAGGGTGAGCTGGACGCCCGCGGGTCTGAGAAGGCGCCCAGGGTTCCCGGCATCAGCTGGCCACCGTCTGCCTAAGTCAGCGCTAGGGTCGTGGCGCCCTCTGGTGGCTGGTCCTAGGTAGTGTGGCTGTCCAGCCCCAGGAAGGGAGGGCCTGTCCCCAAGTCTCAGGGCTCAGGGTTGGGAAGGGCAGGTCTTGGCGCAGACCTGCCCCTGGCCCCCAGCCACACGCTTGGCTCTCCCCATGCTGAAGATGCTGAAGCTCGTTCTAGCGCCCGCAGTGTGAAGATCTCCGAATCTCACCTCTCCGTGCCTCCCCAGCCAGGTGGCTCCATTTTACACACAGGACAGAGGCCCAGAGAGTGGGGAGCCAGGCCAGGGAGGCTGCCTGAAGCCTGGCACAGCAGCCTCATTTATTGTGTTGCTCTGCTGCTCACAGGGGAAGCACATCCCCCAAAGTCCCCTTCTTGGCCCCGGTGAGTCTCTTGTCCCTGGATTGCCGGTCAGCCTCGTCCGCCCCAAGCACTCAGTAGCCAGCAGGCTCCCCGCCTTTCCTGGAGTCTGAGGCAGCTGCCCAGCCACCAGCCGTGCGGACGATGGCCTGCACCACAGCGATAAAGGAGGATGCGACCTTGGTGTGATGGTGCCGGGCCTCCAGGGCTGCAGTCACTGCCTAGGGGTGGGAGGAGAGGGGAGGCCTGAGCAGTGCTCCAGATGCCACCTGAACCATGCCTGTGGTCACAGGCCTCAGCCCAGGTGGTGCTATTTGGGGTCAGGAGATCAGGAAGAGCAGGCTGGGGCCTGTTGGGTCTCGCTGGAGCAGGCGGCTTGGCCCTCATGGCACAGGAGCTCCACATGGCCCACGTACCAGACAGAGGACACCAACCACTGTCCGCTCTGGGATGATCCAGGCCTCCAGCCCAGGATGCCCTGTGGCCCCACACCGTGACTCAGTTTCCCCAACCCCCGGCCCACCTGGTCAATGTTTCTCTCCACTGTCGTGACATTGGGCAGAAGCTGGTTGTGCAGCCGGGGCTCTTCCACGGCCCGCTTCACGTCATAGCCGAACCAGAGGTGGTAGATGATGGCCTGGGGCATGAGGGTGTGATCAGCATGGCCTGGGCACTGGGCGGGGTTGGGTGGGGTAGGCAGGGCCAGGGAGGGAAGGGGTGACACATACCAGTGCTGTGGCCGTGGTGATATGTGTACCCCCAGAAGCTCCCACCACCATCCGGACCTGGCCGTCCTTACCCACCATGATCGTTGGGCACATGGATGAGAGTGGTTGCTTCCCTGCGGCCGACGGGAGAAGGCAGGGATGCCGGTCAGCTGCCTGCCCAGACACCCGTCCCTCTCCACCCCAGTCCCCCATCCCCAGACCTCCACCCCATACCTGGATGAATGAAATTTGCGGGTGAGGGGGGCACCCCAAACTCGTTGGTGATGTTGGGAGAGCTGAAGTCGTCCATTTCATCATTGAACAGAATGCCGCTGACCGGGGACCGGACCTTGGAGCCAAAGCTACAGCCCAGCCAGGTCAGACAGTGCCCGGTCTCGCTCGGCCCAGCCTGGTCCCATCCACCCACTGAGGCTCAAGACATACTCCCTGTGAGGCCAAGAGCAAGCTACCAAGGCAGGGCCTCAGTTTCCCACCAGGATAAAAGGTGATGGAGCCACCCTCCTGGATAAGCAGGCAGTCCCTGGGACACCCACCCCGGCCCTGCCCCACCCCGACGGCCCAGCAGCCCCTACTAGAGGTTGATGGTGCTGGTGGCAGACACAGCACTGCCGTCCTCTGCGATGACAGACAGATGGGCAGTGCCTCCGTCATCCGGCGTGTAGAACTCGGGCTTGTAGTAGGAGGTCGGGTGGGTGGTGTCATCAGAGATCTGAGCCCGGAGCTGGGCGGCGAAGAACTCAGAGGTCATGTTGTGGACCACCTGCCGAGACCCCAGAGCTGGCCTGAGGAGGTGGGGAGGGAGGGTGCGGGGTGGGGGCACAGGGTTGTGCAAGGAGATCTCAGAAGGCCCCCAGCTGTGGCTCTAACCACAACCCTCCGGCACCCCCAGCCACCTTTCGTGACCTGTCTGACTCCCTGTCTGTTGAGTTCCAGCAACTCAGAATGTCTGTCTGTCCTGCACTCAGCCTCGAGACCTTTAGCGGATTCAATCAGCCGTTCACTCACGCAGATGTTTCTAGAGCCTGCATTGCATGCCTGGCACTGAGGAATCAACGGGAAACAGACACTTAGGTCCCCGCCCTCACGCCAGAAAAAACAAATGCACACGGGGAAAGTGCTGAAACCACAAGCCAGGTAAGGGGAATGGAGAGGCACACGTATAGACAGAGTGGTCAGGGAGGGCTTCTCGGAGGAGGCAACGTCTGAGAAGAGCCTGGAATGCGGCTTAAATGGTCAGTGCAAGGTAAGGGGAATGCAGAGGCATGAGGTATGGACAGAGTGGTCAGGGAGGGCTTCTCAGAGGAGGCAATGTCTGAAAAGAGCCTGGAATGCAGCCTCAATAGTCAGCACAAAGGCCCTGAGGCAGGTGGTATAGGCTGGTGAGCGATATGCAGAGTGTGAATGGGGTGAAGGGGAGAAGAGGAGGCAGGTGCAGGCTGGGGACCATCCCACAGGACCTCCTGGGTCCCCTGAGGCCTTTGGGTTTCGCTCTGGGCCACACAGGCTTAGGGCAGAGGGTGAGCAGGCTGGGGAATGTTTTCACAGGGTCCCTCTGGTGGCTGTGAGGTGGATAAGGATAAAGTCCAAAGGCTGCAGGTGTCAACCAGGCGAGAGATGATGGCTTGCCCTGGGTAGGACAAAGAGAAGAATGGAGGAGGGCCCCGACTAGGGAGGTAAACCCTGCAGAAGGGGCAGGTGTGGGGAGGCTCAGAAGCTTGGTTTGGATACTTCATCAGACCTCAAAAGCATGGCCTACGTGTGTGGAATTCACGGGCAAGGGCAGGCTGAGAGATGAACATGGAGGTATTGACATTGAGTGGCTGCTGAACGCCACGAGCCTGGCCAGGGTCCCCAAGGCAGTGGTGAGGGCTGACCGAGAGGAGAGGAGGAGGTGAGGGGCAGACAGACAGGATGGGCCCGGGAGGCCAAAGACAGTGCCTCAAGAGTTTCAGCAACAGCCCACAGACTAGCTGGCCAACACCAGGGAAAGATGTTCTGTCTGAATCTGCTCCCAAGGAAACAGAAAGGCAAGTCCAGGATGTGAGACATTTTTCTAAGACGACTGCCCCGGCTTTAAAAATCAACAAAACAGGCTCAGCAGGCCGGGCACAGTGGCTCACGCCTGTAATCCCAGCACTTTGGGAGGCCGAGGCGGGCGGATCACCTGAGCTCAGGAGTTTGAGACCAGTCTGACCAACATGGAGAAACCCCGTCTCTACTAAAAATACAAAATTAGCTGGGTATGGTGGCTCAGGCCTGTAATCCCAGCTACTCGGGAGGTTGAAGCAGGAGAATCGCTTGAACCCGGGAGGCAGAGATTGCAGTGAGCCAAGATCGCACATTGTACTCCAGCCTGGGCAACAAGAGTGAAATTCCATCTCAAAAAAAAAAAAAAAAAAAAAAAAAACAGTCTGAGTGCGGTGGTTCACACCTGTGAGCCCAGCACTTTGGGAGGCTGAGGTGGGATGTGAGCCCAGGAGTTTGAGACCAGCCTGGGCAACATGGCAAGACCCTGACTCTAAAAAAAAAATACAAAAATTAGCCAGGTGTGGGGGCATGTGTCTGTGGTCCCAGCTGCTTGAGGGGCTGAAGTGGAAGGATTTCTTCAGCCCTGGAGGTTGAGGCTGCAGCTGAGATCACACCACTGCACTCCAACCTGGATGACAGAGACGCTCTCCAAACAGAAACAAAACAGCCGAGGGCGCCTACTGTAGGTAAAGAGAAGGGACACAGGTGTGTCACCAGGATATCCTGCTGTGGTATGTTCAAGTCCTCACTCCTGGGAGACACACCTGGAAGTGTGACATCAGCAACCTGTCTAATCACTCCGAGGAAACATGAATACCAAGAGATGTGGGTGGAGACGGAGACAGTTAGGAAATCTGGCAGAAACGTTCATACCGCACGCTCCAGAGAAAGGGAACGCTGACGCTTGGGTGGTTTTGTTTGTTTGTTTTATATTTTTGCAGGTGTGAAAATTTGCAAAATGAAAACTTGAGGAGAGTGTGGTGAGCTATGTGAGATGCTACTGATGGGGAAACTGAAGCTGGACATGGTGATCTGGTGGCATGGGGATAGAGCAGGAGGCGTTAGCCTGAAGCGAGAGAGGACGTAGCCCGGCCATGTTTGCTCTAAGAGAAGCAGAGAAAAGAAGGAGGCAGGAGATGGAAGTTTCTGAAGCAACAACAGCTGCCTTTCTTTCAGGAATGATCCATTTTAAAGGGGTAAATGCCTGTAATCCTAGCACTTTGGGAGGCTGAGGCAGGTGGATCACCTGAGATCAGGAGTTCGAGACCAGGCTGGCCAACATGGTGAAACCCCATCTCTACTAAAAATATAAAAAATTAGCCGGATGTGGTGGCACACACCTGTAGTCCCAGCTACTTGGAAGGCTGAGGCAGGAGAATTGCTCAAACGTGGGAGGCAGAGGTTGCAGTGAGCTGAGTTCAAGCCACTGCACTCCAGCCTGGGCGACAGAGAGACTCTGTCTCAAAAAAATAAAAAATAAAAACAATTATAAAGGGGAAAATGGTCAGAGGCAGAGAGGAGCATTGCAGGAACAGCTCACTGAGCCAGGGAGTGGATAAAAAGAGCTGACTTTAGCCAAAAGGGAGGGCAGAGGGACACGCTGTAGTGGCCCTGTCCCCTCAGAGAGACAAAACACCAGGTGACTGGCTGCAGGTGAGTCAGAGGTGCAGAAGGCTCACGGGGAAAGAGAAGACACCTCCCGGGCAGCTGAGGCCCCTCCTGGGAGGTCACAGGTCAGTGTGGCGGGGTCTGCAGGTCTGCCCGGGAATGCCAAGGACCGAGTAAGTAAGGAGGGGTGTGAGGATCCTCAGTGGGAAGAGATATGGCAGGGGTCTCATAGGGACCCAGCATGGAGCTGGGGCACCTAGTGAATACTATGGGTCAGGCGGTACAGGGCTAAGGGTGGCATCTGGGAATCATTAGTCTGGAGTGACAGGGAGTGGGTGGCCAAGGCCTCTGTCCACCTGGCCCTCTCCCTCTCGCCCATCCTTGTCTTATTTTATTTATTTATTTATTTATTTTTGAGACAGAGTCTCACTCTGTCACCCAGGCTGGAGTGCAGTGGTGTGATCTTGGCTGACTGCAACCTCCTCCTCTCAGGTTCAAGCAATTCTCTGCCTCGGCCTCCCGAGTAGCTGGGATTACAGGTGCGCACCACCACATCCGGCTAATTTTTGTGTTTTTAGTAGAGACAGGGTTTCACCATCGTGGCCAGGCTGGTCTTGAACTCCTGACCTCGTGATCCACCCGCCTGAGCCTCCCAAAGTGCTGGGATTACAGGTGTGAGCCACTGCGCCTGGCTCCACTCATCCTTCTCATCATGCCTGAGGGCTGCAGTGCCCCCGTACGTTCCTCACTTCAGCACTGAGCACTCGAGACCCACAGCATGGGCAAAGGCCCTGAGGTAGGAATGTAGCCACTAACTACCCAAACTGTGAGTTCTGAGTGGCAGAGGCCAAGACTGGGGGTCACCCACCAATCCATCCCAGCACACAGTAGGCCCGCAATCAAAGTGTGTGGCAGGAATGGATTCATAAAGCATATGTGAGGCTGCAGCAGCCCTGGGAAGCCCAGCTGGTGCGCCCCTTACCTCAGTTATATTCACAAACTTGGGGTCCCCAAGCAGCGTCCTCTTGGCGTAGGCAAACCGGAAAGCCTCTATGATGCGGTGGTATGTCAGGCCCTTCTGCTCAGGCGTCTCCACGCTCGCCCGGGAGAAGTTGTACCCTGGTTGATGAGAGTCAGGTGCACGTTGGTGATCCCCAGGGGCTCAGAGGGGCTCAGATGGTTAACGGCTCCCTCAGCCACTTTGCCCACCTCAAGGGGCTTTTTTTTCTTTTTGAGACTGAGTCTCACTCTGTTGCCCAGGCTGGAGTGCAGTGGTGCGATCTTGGCTCACTGCAACCTCTGCCTCGCAGGTTCAAGTGATTCTCCTACTTCAGCCTCCCTGGAACTCCAGGCACCTGCCAGCACGCCCGGCTAATTTTTGTAATTTTAGTAGAGACAGGGTTTCACCATATTGGCCAGGCTGGTCTCGAACTCCTGACCTCATGATCCACCTGCCTCGGCCTCCCAAAGTGCTAGGATTACAGGCGTGAGTCACCGCACCTGGCTTCAAGGAGCATTTAATAACCAATAGCAGCAGCTGCTTCAGAAGGCTGTGGTGAGAGTGAGGGCTCCCCGTGCCTGGACCTCAGGTCACACATCAGCTCTGGCCATGCAGTGACCAAGTGGCGGGGACACCCACTGGACCAGGGGTGCGCTCTGGACCAGGCCCTGCAGCCCTGAGCTCCTGCACCTCCCTCCCTCCTGATGACTCCTGTTCCTCCAGCCCTTGAGCATTGCCTTCTTCATCCCTGGTCACTCTGCAATGCCACCTGCAGGACATGGCAAGCGGTGACACAGGGGCTCAATGATTGGAAATACGCGGCATGGGGGGACCCAGCCATCAGGGCTGCAGCAGGGGTGGGGCTGGGGAGAGACAGGCTGTGTCCCGGGCCACGCCGCAGAGCCGTGGTGGGACCAGTCACCTTTGAGGATGTTGAGGATGAGGGCCAGCACAGGCCCGCTGAGTGGTGCGCTGGGCATGTAGAGTACTGCATCTCCCAGGCTGATGTTCAGCGGGTGCTCGATCAGCTCAGCACGGTAGTTGTTCAGGTCCTCGGCTGTGATGATGCCCCCTGCAATGCGACAGCAGCTCGCATGGGCGCGGGAATGGGGCTGCACCATCGCGTGGGGGATGGGGCCGCAGCAGTGGCGTTGCGGGCAGGCAGGGCTGCACCATGGTGGTGGGGAAAAGCCTGCACCCTGCGGGGGAGGACAGAGTGCACTACTGGAGGGGCCGGCCTGTGCCCTGGGAGGGGGCCGCAGGCAACCTCAGCCCCTGGGGATCCTCATCCCCTCCTGGGCTTGTCTCCCTGACACGGCTCACCCCACAGCTGGGCCCGGGCCGTCTGCCCTCCGCCTGCTTGGCTCACTGGCTTCCTGGCTGCCTTCTCTCCTCTGTGGCCAGAGAGTTGTTTTTTTTTTTCTTTTTAGAGATAGGATCTTGCTATGTCACCCAGGTTGGAGTGCAGTGGCTTAATCACAGCCTTGAACTCCTGGGTTCCAGTGAGCTTCCAGCAGGTCCTCCCCAGTAGCTGAGACTACGGGCGGCACCAACACACTCAGCAAACTCTAACTTTTTTGCAGGATCTTGCTCTATTTCTTTTCACTGTGCTTTGAAGTTAGGTTTTACGGTTCCCCACCCCCACCCCCACTATATTGATGAGACTCTAGTCTCAGGGTTTTTTTTTTTAGTTTCACTGTGTTGGGCAGGCTTGTCTTAGACTCCTGACTTTAACTTCTACCTCGGCCTCCTGAAATGGGATTACAGGCATGAGACGCCAGCTCGGCCTCAGAGGGCCTTTTACTCCTTCTTTTTTTTTTTTTTTTTTTTTTTTATTTGAGATGGAGTCTCACTCTGTCGCCCAGGCTGGAGTGCAGTCAGTGGTGTGATCTCGGCTCACTGCAGCCTCTGCCTCCTGGGTTAACGCGATTCTCCTGCCTCAGCCTCTCGGTTAGGTGGGACTACAGGCACAAGCTGTCATGCCCAGCTAATTTTGAATTTTTTTCTTTTTTTTTTTTTTTTTGAGATGGAGTCTTGCTCTGTCACCCAGGCTGGAGTGCAGTGGCGCGATCTCGCCTCATTGAAACCTCTGCCTCCCGGGTTCAAGCAATTCTCCTGCCTCAACCTCCAGAATAGCTGGGACTACAGGTGCGCATGCCACCATGCCGGGCTAATTTTGTATTTTTAGTAGAGATGGGGGTTCACCATGTTTGCCAGGCTGGTCTTGAACTCCTGACCTCAGATGATCCACCCGCCTTGGCCTCCCAAAGTGCTGGGATTACAGGCATGAGCCACCGTGCCCGGCTCAGAGGGTCTCTCAGGGGAGAATTCCTGCTCCAGTCTCCCTGCCGCTGAGCCTCTTCTCATGATGAATGGATAGAGGGAGGGAGGGAGGCTCTTAATTCTCCCGGAGTCAACTCCAGACATACAGGGTATTGGCATGCCAGTTTCTAGCCTCAGTGGTACAGTTCAGCACACTAATCACCCTCCTCCATGAAACAGTGGCAAGAATTTCCTGAAGAAAGCCACAGCCAAGCGCCAGGTCCCTGCCCTACAAAGTCCCTTCCCCATGCCTCTCGCAAGGTGACTGTCATCCCTTGGGACCCTCCTGGTGAATCAAAGGCTCCTCTCTCTGGGCCTTAACCCAGCTGTTCCTCTGCTAGGAATCCCTTCCTCTCTCTGCCTAACGAAGTTATCTGCAGCCCAGCCACCTCCTTCTCCAAGAAGTCCTCCTGGATCTTCAGGTTGTATTCTAGTGCTTCCCTAGCCCTGGCTCTTGCCTACACCTGCATTTACCCCACCAGGGACTTGCTCTCCTGGCCTGCATGGCCTCTCCTGGCTTTGACATACCAGGAGCTATGGATTCACATGGCCGGCTACTGACCAGGAAATTCCAGCAGGCTCAGGGAGGGCGGGAGGACCGCAGGGCTCTGGGCCCCAGCTGAGGGTATCCAATGCAGGGTTCCTCACCCAGGCCCCTGAGGGTACCCACTCACCGGCCGCCTGGATGTCCTTCACAATCTGGGCGGTGAGGCTGCCGTTGTAGAAGGCCTGGGCGCCCTCGATGGCCAGCGTCTCGTAGGTGTCAGCCAGCTGCGGCAGGGTCAGTCTCTCCCCCTCCCGAAGCACCTTTCCATCCCGGCAGAACACCTCACTGGGGCAGGGGGCGCTCAGGTGAGGCAGAAGGTGGGGTGGATTCAGACTGCCCCCCGACCCGCCCACACAGGGGAACGGAACAGAGCTGGGGCAGTGCTCGTCACAGGTGGGTGGCTCCGTCACTCCATGCTCGTCCTCCCAGCCTCCTAGTGTCCCCTGCCACTCAGGACACATGGCCGGCCACAGTAGCCACTGGGACCCCAGGATCAGAATGCGTCCCCACACGTGGTGGGAAGCGTCTGCATCTCCTCATCCCATTACCAGCGCAGGGTTCCGAAGGCAGAGGGCGGCTCCACTGCCGCTCGGGGACCACAGGGGCCTTGGGCTGTGGGGGCCCTGCCTGTGTCGGGGGCCGCACCCACAGACATACCACAAGACAGGCTGCTGCTCGATGACGGCCCGCTTGTTTTCCAGAGCTGCTGCCAAGCCCTTGCCCACAGGGAAGCCCTGGCGGGCCAGCTGGATGCTGGGCTGGAAGAGGCGAGCCCAGGGCAGCCGCCCATGCCGCTGGTGTGCCAGCTCATAGCCTCGGATCTCTCCAGGCACAGCCACCGACAGCCCCCCTGGGGAGAGACAGCCCCAGTTAGCAGCCCTGAATGACAGACATGGGAATCTCTCGCAGGCGGCATCCCAGGCACATTCCCCGACTCGTTTTACAGTTGGGGCAAAGAGATTTAGTAGAAAAGATTTTTTTTTTCTTTTTTGAGATGGGGTCTTGCCATCTTACCCAGCCTGGTCTCGAACTCCTGAACTCAACTAATCCTCCCACCTCAGCCCCCTGAGAAGCTGAGATTATAGGCATGAACCAGTATGTCCAGCAGAAGGGGATTTTGTTTTGTTTGGTTTTGGTTTTGGTTTTTTTGAAGCAGAATCTCACTCTGTCACCAGGCTGGAGTACAGTGGTGCAATCTTGGCTCACTGCAACCTCCGCCTCCCAGGTTCAAACAATTCTCCTGCTTCAGCCTCCCAAGTAGCCGAGACTAAAGGTACGAGCCACCACACCTGACTAATTTTTGTATTTTTAGTAGAGACGGGGTTTTCACCATGTTGGCCCAGATGGTCTCAATCTCTTGACCCAGAAGGGAATTTTTAAGGTCATGTCTGGGCTCAGCAGGCAGGAGTGCGCATGGACCAGGGATGTCTGATGAGGCCGCAGGAGGGAAAGCAGCAGCACACAGCTGGGTTTTGCTGTCCCAGGATTAGGTGTCTGTCTGTGCAGGTGCCTGCATGTCTGAAATCTTGTGCCAGGCCAGACCCCCTCCCATCGCACCGACCACAAGGCCTTATCCTGTAAGACCCGTGGGCTCTACCAGAATGTGCTAAAGAAAGAGCAGGTCCCACCCTGACCCAGTTCAAGCACAGGCCACCCTCCAGACCCACCCAGCCCCAAGAAAGGGCACCCTTCCTCTTTTCTAATGCCCCGGAAGCAAGATCTGAGCCTTAATCTCTGTCCTGTCCCCTCTCCCAGCCTGTTTCTCCATCCGACTATAAGGGGTTTTGTTTGTTTAGTTTTTTGAGACGAGTCTCGCTCTGTCACCAGGCTGGAATGCAGTGGCACAATCTTGGCTCACTGGCAACCTCCACCTCCCAGGTTCAAGTGATTCTCCTGCCTCAGCCTCCCGAATACCTGGGATTACAGGCGCCTGCCACCATACCCAGCTAATTGTTACATATTTAGTAGAGACTGCATTTAACCATGTTGGTCAGGATGGTCTTGATCTTCTGACCTTGTGATCCGCCCAACTCGGCCTCCCAAAGTGCTGGGATTACAGGTGTGAGCCACCACGCCCAGGCTGTTTGTTTGTTTTGAGACAAGGTCTCACTCTATTGCCCCAACAATCGAGGCTCACTGCAGCCTTGGCTTCCCAGGTTCAAGTGATCCTCCCACCTCAGCCTCTGAAGTACCTGAGACACAGACGCACCCCACCACACATGGCTAATCTTTTTTTTTTTTTTTTTTTTTTTTTTTTTTTTGAGGTAGAGTTTTACTCTTGTTGTCCAGGCTGAAGTACAGTGGCGTGATCTGAGCTCACTTCAACCTCCACCTCCCAGGTTCCAGCGATTCTCCTGCCTCAGCCTCCCAAGTAGCTGGAATTACAAGCACGTGTCACCACAACCAGCTAATTTTTGTATTTTTAGTAGATTGTTGTATTCTTGTATTTTCAGTTTCACCAGGTTGGTCAGGCTGGTCTCGAACTCCTAACCTTAGGTGATCCGCCCTCCTCGGCCTCCCAAAGTGCTAGGATTACAGGCATAAGCCACTGCACCTGGACTAATCTAAAAAATTTTTTGCAGAGACATGGGTATCGCTTTGTTGCCAGGCTGGTCTCAAACTCCTGGCCTCAAGTGATCCTCCCACCTCAGCCTCCCAAAGTGCTGGGATTGCAGATATATCCAGCCTCTAAGGGGTTTTGCCTTCCAGTTCTGATTCTCGAGGAGGTAACTAGAAACGGACCCCTGGGCCTGCTCACCCCCGAGCCCCACCGCCAATATGGACACTACAGACACTGACCCTTTGCCCAGAAAGGTACAACTATGGCCTCTGCCCCCAGGTATTTTCCTGCTCTCGCCAGAGATGACGGGGGCCATTTGGCTGCTCCCAGGCTTGGCGGTACTGCCCTAGAACTACCTCTCCCACCCTGAGGCCTGGCACGTTTCCAGGAGTCGGTGGTTTCAATTCCTAGAAGCTCCATATATATCCTGGAAGGTCTGACACCCAGCACACTGTTCCTTCCACCTTACAGTTAGACAGGGGAAGTTCTAATGTTTGCTAACAGACCAGGGGATATTTAGCAACAGTATTTTATAGATTTCAAAGCAACTAGAAGAGAGGACTATGATGCTAATACCCAGAAATAATAAATACTCAAGATGATGGTGACCCCAAGTACCCTGCCTTGATCATTATACATTCTGTGCATGTAACAAACACTCACATATACCCATAAATATGTGAAATATTGTATCAATATCAGAAAAACGTCTTCTCCTGACCTCAGGCCAATCAGACTCTCATGCCACCACACTTGCCAAGCTCTGCAGCGACCTCCACACTGCCAGACCCAGTGCCTCCTCTCAGCTTTGGAAACTGGGCTCATCACTCTCCCTGCAAGCCAGCCCTGCATCCCAGCACCTGGCTCCACCCGAGTCTCCCCTGCCCGCCACCCTAGCTCCTACTGTCTCCTGGGTCTTTGCTCTCTCTCCTGCTGGTCTGCCTGACATCTGAGCTTCAGCCTCCATTTATGCACTGACAACTCCCAAATTTACCTGCTGGCCTGACTGCTCCTCTGATTGCCAGACCCGAGTATCTACCTGCCTGCTCAAAAAACGCATTTTAGGCCAGGCACAGTGGCTCACACTTGTAATCCCAGCACTTTGGGAGGCTGAGATGGGCGGATCACCCGAGGTCGGGAGTTCAGGACCAGCCTGAACAACAAGGAGAAACCCCATCTCTACTAAAAAGACAAAATTATCCAGGCATGGTGGCACGTGCCTGCAATCCCAGCTACTCAGGAGGCTGAGGCAGGAGAATCGCTTGAACCCAGGAGGCGGAGGTTGTGGTGAGCCGAGATTGCGCCACTGCACTTCAGCCTGGGTAACAAGAGCGAAACCATCTCAAGAAAGAAAAGAAAAAAAAGAAAAAAGAAAGGAAAGAAAAAGGAAAGGAAGGGAAAGGGAAAGGGAAGGGAAGGGGCATCTCAAACATAAATGTGTCCAAAACCTAGTTCCTGAGTGTCCATTCAGACCTGCTTCCTGAGAGCCCTGCCTGTCTCCATTAGGGTCACTGCATCCTTCCATGTACAGACTAAAGATCTGGGGTCCTCTGGGACTCCCTACACAAGCATCACACGCAACCTGTCCTCAAATCCACCGGCTCCACTTCCAAGTGTGTCCGTCGGCCACTTCCCACCACCCTCCCCATGCATTACTGCAGTGACCTCCAGACAGGTCCTAGCAGGCTCTCTGCCCCTTACACAGCAAGCCAAGGGGTCCATAGGCCAGATCCATCCCCCTCCACTCACATACTCAATGGGCCCCCAATTCCCTCAGATGAATGGCAGCGGTTTCACCAAGACCTAAGACATCCCACACAACCTGGGCGGTTACTCTCAGATCGCTTGCTGCAGCCTCCGCAGCTCCCCACACGGCTCCGTCCCTGCCCATCACATCTGGATCACTAGGTCTTCCCCCAGACACCGTATAGCTCCCCTGACCCCATCTCTGCCTCTGGGTCTTTGCTCAGATGTCCCCTTCCCTGACTAGGTCACCCTTCACAGAGTCCCACATCTTGAGGCACCCCAGATCTGTTTTGTTTTGTTTTGTTTTTGAGGTGGAGTGTTGCTTTGTCTCCTAGGCTGGAGTGCAGTGGGGTGATCTCGGCTCACTGCAACCTCCTCCTCCCAGATTCAAGTAATTCTCCTGCCTCAGCCTCCTGAGTAGCTGGGATTACAGGTGTGCACCACCACGCCCAGCCAATTTTTTGTATCTTTAGTAGAGACAGGGTTTCACCATGTTGGCCAGGCTGGTTTCGAACTCCTGACCTCGTGATCTGCCCGCCTCAGCCTCCCAAAGTGCTGGGATTACAGGTATGAGCCACCACACCTGGTCCCAGCTAATTTTTTGTATTTTTAGTAGAGACGGGGTTTCACCATATTGGGCAGGCTGGTCTCGAACTCCTGACTTCATGATCCACCTGCCTCAGCCTCCCAAAGTCCTGGGAGTACAAGCATGAGCCACCACGCCCAGGAAGGTCTGCTTTTCCACAGCCCGTAGCACACCCGAACCTGCCTAGTTTCTCCTCCCCACCTGGAATGTCACAGATTTCATCTGCCATCTTTGTTTTTCACCCCGCTTCGGGAACAGCACCTGATGTTTTAAGAGATGCTCAGTATGTTCTAGTTACGGAAATGATTCTGTGTCCACAAGGTGCCAAGCCTATGATTCCCTCATTCTCTTACCCTGAGCAACTTCATGTCTACAGATGCTGAGTTTCTCAATGAGCATTAAAAAAAAAAAAAAAAAATTAAAGACTTGGTATGTTGCAGAGGACTCCAAAGGGCACCACCCAGGAGCCCCGCCTGAGGTATAAGACTTGCTATGATGAATGTGCCCTGCCCCGAAATTTTCCTGCCTGTCTCTCAGGTAGCTGGGATTACAGGTGCATGCCACCATGCCTAGCTAATTTTTGTATTTTTAGTTGAGACAGGGTTTCACTATGTTGGCCAGGCTGGTCATGAACTCCTGACTCCACATGATCCACCTGCCTCAGGCTCCCAATTTGTTGGGACTACAGACGTGAAACACCACACCAGCCTTTTTTTTTTTTTTTTTTTTTTTTTTTTGAGACGGAGTTTCGCTCTTGTTACCCAGGCTGGAGTGCAATGGCGCGATCTCGGCTCACCGCAACCTCCGCCTCCTGGGTTCAGGCAATTCTCCTGCCTCAGCCTCCTGAGTAGCTGGGATTACAGGCACGCACCACCATGCCCAGCTAATTTTTTGTATTTTTAGTAGAGACGGGGTTTCACCATGTTGACCAGGATGGTCTCGATCTCTTGACCTCGTGATCCACCCGCCTCGGCCTCCCAAAGTGCTGGGATTACAGGCTTGAGCCACCGCGCCCGGTCCCCTTTTTTTTTTTTTTTAAGACAGGGTCTCGAGCTGCGGTGGCTTGGGCCAGTTGTCCTGGCGCTTAAGGAGCTGAGGCTATGCGTTCAAGGCCAACCTGGGCAACATAAGAACCTCTCATTCATTTAAAAAAAAAAAACAAAACAGGGTCTCGCTTTGTTGCCCAAGCTACAGTGTAGTGATATAATCATAGCTCACTGCAGCCTCAAATTCCCGGGCTCAAGTGATCCTCCCACCTCAGCCTCCCGAGTAGCTGGGACCACAGGCACACACCACCATGCCTGGCTAATTTTTTTTTCCATTTTTTATAGAGACGGAGTCTTGCTATGTTGCCCAGGCCGGTCTCAAACTCCTGGGCTCGTGGGATCCTCCTGACTTGGCCTCCCAAAGTGCTAGGATTACAGGAGTGAGTTATTGAGCCCGCCCATCCTCCAACTTTTATCCCACAATCCATTCTGCCTCCTTTGAGCTGTGCCCCTGGGTGGACAGTGGCTTCCCCTCAGGTACCTGGGGAATTTGGGGGCCTCCCTCCACTAAGACCAGATTAGAAAAGAGAGACTCTGGATGGGCGCGGTGGCTCCCACCTGTAATCCCAGCACTTTGGAAGGCCAAGGCAGGTGGATCATGAGGTCAAGAGATTGAGACCATCCTGGCCAACATGGTGAAACCCCATCTCTACTAAAAATATAAAAATTAGCCAGATGTGGTGGTGCACACCTGTAGTCCCAGCTACTCAGGAGGCTGAGGCAGGAGAATCACTTGAACCTGGGAAGCAGAGGTTGCCGTGAGGCAAGATCACATCACTGCACTCCAGCCTAGCAACAGAGCAAGACTCTGTCTCAGAAAAGAAAAAAAAAAAAGAGATTCCACCTCACACCTCACACCTCACGCTCTAGAGTGCTATCCCCAATGAACAAATGAATGAACCGAATAGGATGCCTGTTAAAAAGGCAGGGTATAGAGAGCCTGGGTTCAATTTTAGCTTCACCACTTACCAGCTGTGTGACCTCAGCTGATTTGCATGGCCTCTCTGGGCCTCAGCATCCCCATCTGTAAAATGGGAATCGACACAGCATCCCCCACCCCAAAGGAGCAGGGAAGGGTATGAGATGCTCATGGGTGAAAAGCACAGAGCAGAGTGCGGGCCCCAGTAAGCCCTGCTCCATGGGGGCTGTTAGCGTAATAATTATTCTCTCCGTGTGCTGCACAGGGTGGCCCCAGAGGCCTTGGGAGAAATAACAGATAATCCCAGTCCTTTACTCTGGTGATGATGGTCCTGACAACTCATTGTGGGAGGGTGCTACGGGGCCAGGAAGGGATGAGGGGTGCCAGAACTGCCCTTGGACCCCGACAAGGCCAGCTCTGCACCCACGCCCCAAGCCTGCAGGCGGCTTACCCTCCTGGGACTGTTCCGAGCTGTTGAACATGTTAGGAAAGGCCAGCCTGGGGGCCACCTCGCGGGCATTGATGACCTCGGCTTTTCCTAGAAGGAGAAGCAGGTAGGCAGGCAGACTCACCCAAACCCTTCATGCCACGTGAGCCCGGGGGTCCCCCAAGCTGTGCCTCTGCCCAACCCACACTCCCGACCCCTCTCCCTCACCCCTCCCGGAAGTACTCACGAGTGTTGCTGTTGTAGATGGTGAGGAACAGGCCGCCCCCGATGCCCATGCTGTGGGCATTCATGAGCCCCAAGCACAACAGAGCGGCAATGGCTGCGTCCACCGCAGAGCCACCGTCCCTCAGTGCGTCCCTGCCCGGTGGTACATGAAGGGGTGAGAACCTGCAGGCTTCCATCCTGGCCCTGCTTACACACCCTGCTGCCCGTGTCCCCAAAGGAGGATGGAAGAGAAGTCCATTTGAGTTTTCAGGTTTCTGTGTTATTCTTTTTTTTTTCTTTTGAGACAGAGTCTTGCTCTGTCACCCAGGCAGGAGTGCAGTGGTGTGATCTCAGATCACTGCAGTCTCAACCTCCTGGACCCAACTGACCCTCCCACCTCAGCTTCCCAAGTAGCTGGGACTATGGGGACATGCCACCACGCCTGGCAAATTTTTTGTTTGTTTTGTTTTTTTGAGACAGAGTCTCATACTGTCGCCCAGGCTAGAGTGCAATGGCATGATCTCAGCTCACTGCAACCTCCGCCTCCCAGATTCATGTAATTCTCCTGCCTCAGCCTCCCAAGTAACTGGGATTACAGGTACATACCACCATACCTGGCTAATGTTTTTGTATTTTTTAGTAGAGATGCGGTTTCACTATGTCGGCCAGATTGGTCTCGAACTCCTGACCTTGTCATACGCCTGCCTCAGCTTCCCAAAGTGCTGGGATTGCAGACATGAGCCACAGTGCCTGGCTGTTCTGTTTTTTGTTTTTTGTTTTTTTGTAGAGATGGGGTTTTGCCATGTTGCCCAGGCTGTCAAAGAACTCCTGGGTTCAAGTGATGCCCATCTTGGCCTCCCAAAGTGCTGGTATTACAAGTGTGAGCCATTGTGCCTGGCCTTTGTTTTATGAGACAGGGTCTCACTTTGTCACCAAGGATGAAGTGCAGTGGCATGGTCATGGCTCAATGAAGCCTTGACCTCCTGGGCTCAAGCAATCCTCCCACTTCAGCCTCCTGAATAGCTGGGACTATAGGTATGAACCATCACACTTGGCAATTTTTTGTCTTTTTTGTAGAGACAGGGTCTCCCTATGTTGCCCAGGTTGGTCTCAAACTTATGGGTTTAAGCAATTTCCCCCCCTTAACCTCCCAAAGTAGCGGGATCACAGTTTTCCTCTTTTTCTTTTTCTTTTTTCTGAGATGGAGTTTCACTCAGTTGCCCAGAGTGCAGTGGTGTGATCTCAGCTTACTGCAACCTCCGCCTCCTGGGTTCAAGCAATTCTCCTGCCTTAGCCTGCCGAGTAGCCGGGAATACAGGTGCCCACCACTCCTGGCTAATTTTTTTGTATTTTTAATAGAGATGAAGTTTTACCATGTTGGCCAGGCTGGTCTCAAACTCCTGACTTCGGGTGATCCACCTGCCTTGGCCTCCCAAAGTGCTGGGATTACAGGTGTGAACCACCGCGCCCAGCCAGTTTCCTCTCTTTCTTTTTTGTTTTTGAGACAGAGTTTTGCTCTTGTTGCCCAGGCTGGAGTGCAATGGCGTAATCTCAGCTCACAGTAACCTCCACCTCCCAGGTTCAAGTGATTCTCCTGCCTCAGCCTCCCACGTACATGGAATTACAGGCATGCGCCACCACGCCCAGCTAATTTTGTATTTTCAGTAGAGACAGGGTTTTTCCATGTTGGTCAGGCTGGTCTCGAACTCCCAACCTCAGGTGATCCACCCACCTCGGCCTCCCAAAGTGCTGGGATTACAGGCGTGACCCACTGTGCCCAGCCAGTAGCTTAGTTTCCTGTTTTTCAAGCAAACAAATGTACATGACTTTTATAATTGGGACAAAAAGGGAAATTGCTATATTTTATTAATAAGTTTTCTTCTGGCTGGGGATGGTGTCTTACACCTGTAATCTCAGCACTTTGGGAGGCCAAGGTGGAGGATCACTTGAGGGCAGGAGTTCAAGACCAGAAGTTCAAGACACGAGCAATATAATGAGACCTCATCTCTACAAAACAGGCTTTTTAAATTAGTCAGGTCTAATGCACACCTGCAGTCCTAGCTGCTCAGGAGGCTGAGGTGAAAGAATCGCTTAAGCCCAAGAGTTCAAGGCTGCAGTGAGCTATGATCACGCCACTGCACTCCAGCCTGGGCAACAGAACAAGACCCTGTCTCAAAAAAACAAAAACATAACATTTTTCCTGTTTAAGTCTTTAGGAGGGAACTGATCTTTGCATATAACATGAAATGAGTCTAAAAGAATAAAACAGTAGAGACCACAGCTCACATCTCTAATCCCAGTACTTTAGGAAGCTGAGGCTGGAGGATCACTTAAACCCAAGAGTTTGAGGCTGCAGTGGGCTATGATCACTACCCTATACTCCAGCCTGGGCGGCAGAGTAAGATCCCACCTTTAAAAACAGAAATAAGCTGGGCACAGTGGCTCACACCTAGAATCCCAGCACTTTGGGAGGCCAAAGTCAAGAGTTCAAGACCAGCCTGGCCAACATAATGAAACCCCATCTCTACTAAAAATATAAAAATTAGCTGGGTGAGGTGGTGCATGCCTGTAGTCCCAGCTACTCAGGAGACTGAGGCAGGAGAATCACTTGAACCTGGGAGGTGGAAGTTGCAGTGAGCCAAGATCACGCCACTGCACTCCAGCCTGGGCGACAGGGCAAGACTCTGTCTCAGAAACACACACACACACACACACACACACACACACACACACACACACAAACACACACACAAATTAGCTGGGTGTAGTGGCGCACACCTGTAATCCCAGCTACTTGGGAAACTGAGGCATGAGAATCACTTGAACTTGGGAGATGGAGGTTGCAGTGGACTGAGATCGCGCCACTGCACTCCAGCCTGGGCAACAGAGCGAGACTCTGCCACAAAATAAATAAATAAGCCGGGCACGGTGGCTCAAGCCTGTAATCCCAGCACTTTGGGAGGCCGAGGCGGGTGGATCACGAGGTAGAAAGATCGAGACCATCCTGGTCAACATGGTGAAACCCCGTCTCTACTAAAAATACAAAAAATTAGCTGGGCATGGTGGCAACATGCCTGTAATCCCAGCTACTCAGGAGGCTGAGGCAGGAGAATTGCCTGAACCCAGGAGGCAGAGGTTGCGGTGAGCCGAGATCACGCCATTGCACTCCAGCCTGGGTAACAAGAGCGAAACTCCGTCTCAAAATAAATAAATAAATAAATAAATAAATAAATAAATAAAAATAAAAAGTGAAAAAAATAACAACCAAACCACAAAACAGTGGAGTTTATCTAAAGAGACAGAGACCCTTAAAACTGAGAAAAGGGGCCCTGTTGGGCTCTAGAAGACCCGCACCCTGCTCTCGGGGTCATCATCCCCTTCCCAGAGCGTACTGAGAGAGCCCAAGCAAAGAACAGGTAGCTCTACGCACATGGGACACCCCATGTCCAGGCAGCCTGCTTACATGTGGGGAAACTGAGTCTCAGAGGGGCAAAGGTGTTGCCCAGTTTCCAGGGCCCATGCCCCCATGCCCTGTCCCGCTTACCTCCCAATCTCCGAGCAGCGCTTGGCATCGGCAGCCACAGCAGCCCTGGCGTACACGTGGTTGGGAGGTTCCTTGGAGGCAGAGGGCAGCCAGAGACAGAGGCCAATAACAACCAGCACCAGAACCACGGCCAGCAGGCCCAGCACCACGAACTGCTTCTTCATGGCTCCGCTACACCCACGGGGTAAGGAGCAGGGTCAGGCCTAGCCTCAGACACTCCCCGGCCCCTCCCTAACAGGGCACAGTCTCACGTAGGGCCTCAGAAACACAAGCCCTGTTTCTCCTTCCCGTCTCCCAGAACACGTGCAGGCTGTCCGGCCCCCAGACCTTTGCCCAGGCCATGCCTTCTGCCAGGAGCTCCGGGCCTCATCACTGCGCTCCCAAATCCTCCCTGCTTATCTTCAGAGCCCATCCTGGTAAGAACCCCATCTCCAGCAGGGGCCCTTCCTGGGAGCCCTGAGACCTCCATACCCCTCTTTCTTCAAGGCCTTGCCTACCTCCTCGCTGTGCTGAGCTTCACTGCTTAGCGAGAAGCTCCTGTAGGGACAGGCCTAGCATGGTTTCTCCTGTGTCCCCCACCTCAGCCCAGAGCCTGGCACTGTCCAGGAGCCCCTGAGAACCCTTCACTCCACCTGGAGCATGGGGTTTAGCTTCCATAGTGCCCACAATGGGAGCACCCCCCAGTCTTCCCCTGAAATCAGCAGATTCACAGCCACAGGGCCAGGAATTACCGTCCAGCAGTAGACGGGGCCCCCGCCTTGCCTGGGGAGTTGGCCTCGAAAGATGAAAGGATTTGGTGGAAACAGCTGAGGATATCACCGGGGTCTCCCTCACACTCTGCAGGAGCCTGCAGCCACAGAATCTTCTTCAGAGACTCACTGGTCAGGCAGACTTCTCATTCTCCTGAAGGTCAAGGGCGGTTACCGGAAGCATGCGTAGCCCAGTCCTTTCTGGGGGGCTCGATGTGACCTCCTTCTGCCTCTAGCTGATTTCTCTGCCTCCAGTGGAAGTCTGGAGCCAAAGAGGCTGTCAGTAACACACTTGTTTCCAAGAATTCTCCAGGTATGTTTCCCAGGCACAGCCCAAAGAGGGTTCTGTGCAGAGCAGGGCAGAGAGGGGACGGGGCATTCCTGCACAAGCCCAGGATGTGCATGTGGTGAGCATGGCAAAGGGGGACCGGGGGCAGAGCCAGTCTGCCCTGCTCTGAGGCTGGACTTGCCACTCACCTGCCGTGGGGCCTCAGGCAAATCACTTAATGGTCCAGCCTGGCTGACGGTAGCACCTTGCTTGCCTTGCTGCTGAGAGTGTCGTGAATAGGGTAGGTTGGACTATGGGAAGGGCTCGGTGAATGGTGGCTGTGAATATCATCATGGCTGCACTGGGGACACCCCAGTAGGCCTGAGCGGTACAAGTCTCTTGTTGTCTGTTATGTCCCCTGTAGACCCATCCTGGGCTGTGCAGTGAGGGACAGCAGTGACCCTTGCGAAGTCTCATGGCTGTGGCAGTGGGTGACAGGTATGATCTCAACAGGGAAGAGGGATGTGGTGACAGAGGTGGGGGTTCCCTCTCCCAAACTCAGTTCCCCACAAAAGGCAGTGTCCGCCAGCAAGCCCCTCCAATGAGCCCCAAGCTGGGGTCCCTCTATCTGCTCCATCCTATCCCAGTGCAGCCGGTCTGATCTCGGAGTCAGACACAGTGTCCCAGAGATGGTCTAGGAATGGAGTCCCTGTGCCCTCCTTACACAGGGGACATCCAAACAACATCATGGAAGGGCGTTCCCCTCCACAGGCTTGGTGGGCCTGGGGCCAATAGCATGATTTTTTTTTTTTTTTTTTTTTTTGAGACAGTCTCACTCTTTCATCCAGGCTGGAGTGCAGTGGCACAATCTCAGCTCAGTGCAACCTCCGCCTCCCGGGTTCAAGCAATTCCCCTGCCTCAGCCTCCGGACTACAGGGGTGCACCACCATGCCTAATTATTTTTAGTAGAGACGGGGTTTCACCATGTTGACCAGAATGGTGTCGATCTCCTGACCTCGTGATCTGCCCATCTCAGCCTCCCAAAGTGCTGGGATTACAAGTGTGAGCCACTGCTCCCGGCTGTGTGATACATTTGACCCCTCCCAGCCCTGGACGCAGACACCAAGAGCAAAGGGCCCTGGCAGTGGCCATGTGGCAGCCCACCACCCACATCCCCCATAGAGTCCAAAGCAGTCCATCCTCCCCACCCTGGCCACCACAGCCTGAATCCAGGCGCCACCTGTTTCTGACCTGAACTCCCTGCCAGCCCCTGCCTGCACTCCCTCCTTCCAACAGTGTCTGACCTTCAGTCTCCCAGAAAGTAGCTAGAGGGCTCTGTCTGTCCCACTGCAGAACAGCCCCTGCCTCCTCCCTGCCCCATGGGAAGCTCATACCCTTCACCAGGCCTGACAGCCCTCTGGCCACTCAAACACCCTGGGTCCCAGCAAGGAGTCCAGGTCAGGGTTAAGGGTTCCTGATAGAGACAGCCATACCTGGAGGTTCAAGGGGCCTCAGGAGCTGGGCAGGCAATGTGCAGCATCCATTGTGGACACAGAACATTCCCATCACAGGGCCGGGTGTGGTGGCTCACGCCTGTAATCCCAGCATTTTGAGAGGCCAAGGCGGGTGGATCACCTGAGGTCAAGAGTTCGAGATCAGCCTGGCCAACATGGTGAAACCCCCATCTCTACTAAAAATACAAAAAATTAGCTGGGCATGGTGGCACATGCCTGTAAATCCCAGCTACTCAGGAGCTGAGGCAGGAGAATCGCTTGAAACCAGGAGGCAGAGGTTGCAGTGAGCTGAGATCACACCACTGCACTCCAGCCTGGGCAAGAAGAGTGAAACTCGGGCCGGGCGCGGTGGCTCAAGCCTGTAATCCCAGCACTTTGGGAGGCCGAGGCGGGTGGATCACGAGGTCAAGAGATCGAGACCATCCTGGTCAACATGGTGAAACCCCGTCTCTACTAAAAATACTAAAAATTAGCTGGGCATGGTGGCACGTGCCTGTAATCCCAGCTACTCAGGAGGCTGAGGCAGGAGAATTGCCTGAACCCAGGAGGCGGAGGTTGCGGTGAGCCGAGATCGCGCCATTGCACTCCAGCCTGGGTAACAAGAGTGAAACTCCGTCTCAAAAAAAAAAAAAAAAAAAAAAAAAAAAAAAAAAAAAAGAGTGAAACTCCAGGTCGGGCACAGTGGCTAGAGGCTCACGCCTGTAATCTCAGCACTTTGGGAGGCCGAGGGAGGCAGATCACAAGGTCAGGAGTTCAGACCAGCCTGACCAATATGGCGAAACCCCGTCTTTACTGAAAGCACAAAAAAAAATTAGCTGAGCGTCGTGGCAGGCACCTGGAATCCCAGCTACTCAGGAGGCTGAGGCAGGAGAATCACTTGAACCCAGGAGGCAGAGGTTGCAGTGAGCTGAGATGGTACCACTGCACTCCAGCCTGGGTGACAGAGCGAGACTCTGTCTCAAAAAAAAAAAGGATTAAAACTCCATCTCAGAAAAAAAAAAAAAAAAAAAAAGGAAAAACCAAAAACAGAAAAAAAGCACATTCCTATCACATGTCCTAAGGCAGGGGCCTGGCCTGGTCAGTGCCCCTATCCCTAGCACCACAGCCCCCTCCACCAAGGAAGCTCCCCAGTCCCATCCACTGGGCCAGGTCATGCCCCGGAGGGCATAACCTCATCTCTCCCAGGCTCAGGGTCATGAGCCAAGCCCCCCATCAGGGCCCTGGGGTGGGCCAACCGTAACCCAGCCTCCCCGGTCTGTTAATCTGTCTACCCAAAGGCCCAAGTACGCTCCCCGAGAAGCAGGGGGCATCCAGCCAGGACTGGACTGCTGGGAAGAGTGGGGAGGGGAGTAGGCAGTACTGGGCTCTGTCCCTTCCTCCTGTGTCATGTCAGCAAGGGAGGGTGGACCCAGCTTCCCGCAGGCAGATGTCGACAGCCCAGAGGAAGACCCCCTGCTGAGGTCCTGCGTTTCCATTTCCCATCCCTCCACCCCTAAGTTCTCTCCAGCCTCACTGAAAGAATGTCCAAGCCAACCCACAGTGTGAGAGTGGCACACACGAGGGGAAACTGAGGCTAGAAAGTGGTTCAGATGCCAGGGTTTGGCCTCAAACCCAGACCCTCTTCCTTGTGACCCTGATGAGCTTACCTGAGGCCTGGGGACAGTGTGGGTCCAGGAGAACACCTCTTTCTCGGAAGACAGTTCTGGGCTGTACCCTCTGGGGAGGAAGAGACAGGCCTGTCAGCCTGGGAAAGTCCCGGCACAGAATTAGTCAAGCCCCCTCCCGCCCCCCCACCACTCTCCAGAGCGGGCTCAGAGCCACGCCTGCAGCCCCCTGCAGAGCTCCTCAGGGGGCCTCCCAACTGAGACTGGGATCTGGGGGTGGGCACCTCCAAGGAGGAGCTGAAGCAGGGAAGGAGCCGGAGCAACCAGAGAACCCATGAGCTTACCTAGTCCCAGAGGGGGCAACAGGCCAGCCAGGGAGTGCACAGCAGCCCTGGGGGACAGTGGAAGGCGTCTGCACAGGGCGCAGGACAGACAGGCCTCTCCCAGAGGTCCAGCCTGGCTGGGAGGACGGGGAGGCTGACGTCACAGCAGCAAGGAGGCGCACAGTGACTTGGCATGGTGACTGGGCCTGTCACCAGGTGACTAAAGTTCATGCAGCCCTGGGAAGGCCCCAGGTGGGAGGTGCTGTGGCAGGGTCGGCGGTGGGGGGGGGGGAAGGGGTTCCCCCCTCCCAGACTCAGTTCCCTGCAAAGGGCGCTGTCTGCCCACGAGCCTCTTTAGTAAGCCCCAGCCTGGGTCCCCCTCTGGCTCTCCCTGTCCCTGTTCAGAACATCTGAACTCACAGCCAGTGTCCCAGAGATGGCTCTGGAGGCGGTAGAGTAGCGGTGCCCCTGTCACCAGACCAGAACCCAGCCTAAGGGGCCTCACCACACCCTGCTGTGAATGCCAAAAATGTGTCCGAGATATGGCCTGAGGCCCCGAGTGCCTACCGGTTCTGCTGCCCATCCAGAAACATCAGCCCCTAGGCCCAAGGAACCTCCTGAACAGCCCACAGTGGCAGGGCCCAGAGAGGGCCTGAGCTGGCCCAAGCTCACACAGCCCAGCAGTGTAGGCTTGGCTACTTGGTATCTGCTCCAAGTTACTGCATGTCCCTGACCAGCCCAAGAACCAGGAACAGCTGCGGGCCCAGCCCAGGGGACCTTGCACACTGCTGTCCATTCCCCTGTGGCCCTCATCTGCGCTGATATGGGCCAGAGGCTCCCCAAGTCATGGCTCCCTCCCCTGCTCCTGGGCCTACTGGGCCTGCAGTGCTGGACAGCCCCTGCAGCCTCCACCTGAGGGCTATTCCGGGCCTGTAACACCTGCCCCACGATCATGCTTCCAGGCTGCCCCAGCTGACAGAAGGGGACATAAAGGCTGACCCCATGTGGCTGCCTGCCTGGGTCACATAGCCAGCATAGGCCTGTCCTGTCACCTGCTGCTCTCAAATGGACTCTGGACAGAAACCACCAGGCACACAACTGTGAGATCCTCAATAGCCCTAGGGCGGAGGTCCTGTGACCCAGCCCTTTCCCGGGGCACCCCTCCCTGTGGAGATCAGGGTGGCTGGGAAGATGACAGGCCAGGAACCAAGGCCCCGTGACCTGTCCTGAAGGCTAGACAGCAGACAGGAACATCAGGGGATCTGGCCCCGCCTAAGTGGCTGCATTCCACGGCAGTCAGCTGGGAGGGGTCTAGAGTAGAGAGCCACAGGGCTCTGTCCCCGGCCCTGGCCTGCTCAGCAGTTTCCTCTCTGCCTGAGAGCACACAAGACCTGCAGGGTTCACAGCAGCAGGTGGGCAGGAAGACGTCTGAGTGGGCAAAGGATGGCCCAGACCCCCGCAGCTGGCCCCAGAAGGAAAACCCTGGGCTGGAGAAAGTAGGAAAACAGAGGGCTGCCTGCAGGGGGACACACATGAAGTCTGGCAGCAGCTGTGGGTTCCAGAGAGGGGTGACAAGACGGGAGACACTTTATCAAAGGCCATGTCAACAGAGGTAGGACCTACAGAATGAAGGAGGCTTTTCCTCACATGCTGAGTGTGTCACATTCTATCCCAGTCAGCTATCTACTCCCTGAATTCGGAGAGGGCACCTAGCGGGGAGTGGGTCTGCGGAAGCCACTGAGGAAAGCCTGCAGGGACTGGCCTAGAAGTCTTCTCCAGACCCCACAGCTCTTGTCCTGAGCACATAAGGTAGTGAGTTCCCTGTCCCCAGAAATATGCAAGCCTCACTCACCCGGAGACACTGACTCTGATGTCAGTACCACCTATTTCCAACACACGTGCAGGCACGTACACATACACACAGCTGAGCCGAATCTAGGCTGAGCAGAGCAGCTTCGCAGGGCGCAGCAGAGAGGGGCGTATGAGGAAGAGGTAGACATGACAGCCAGTCTGAAGCTTACCAGTTAATCCTCCAACCCAGCTCAATGGCTTTGTCACCACAACCCCAGAGCCACAAGGATAAAACCAGAGCACAGCCCCAACCCATTCACAGGCAGGAAACTGAAGCTTAGCCAAATGATGTTTACCAATGTCAGCTGGCCCCAGAAGATCTGCAGACCCGCAGGTGAGCCCGGGACCCACCCACCCCGAACCCTGCCAGTCTCTAGCATCGAATCACTATCCCTGGGCATCAGAACGAACAGATCTCTGCGGCTTCCCCAGGCCAGTGTGTACCCCTGGACCAGACACTGACCGCCCAGACGTGGGGTTGGAATCCGTCTCCCACGCTGTTCATCCTTGCGACACAGAGTTGAGAATTAGAAAAAAGCACCCCTTCAGTAAGATATAACAACCACTACCTGCCGGAAACCTGTCGGAAGAACTATATAGTTCTCTATATAAATAGCTGAGAGGTGGCGGATGCCCCCTGGAGTTGGGCAATGACCCCTTGCACAACCCACCCTGCCTCACCGCAATCTACAGCCACAGAGCCCAGGAGTGGGGCAAGCATGGTCCAAGGACACAGTGTCCCCCAACCCCTCGCAGCTCTGGCTCTACTCCAGAGCTGACCCCCACCCCCACTCAGGGCTGCCAGATCCTCCCAGGCCTCAGTTTCTCCCTGCTGCACTCTTCCCCCTTAATTCCAAGAAGCCACGCCTCTCTCAGGGGCTTCTTCACCTAAGTCAGGTGACTCTGCCCCAGCCCTCCTTCACCCACCCCCATACCTCTCTCAAACCCACGTATCAGCCAAGAAACAGAGGCCCCCCAGGCCAGACCCAGTCGGATAAAGAACCCGGGGCTCTGCCCAGCTGTGAGATCCCTCTGCAGGATGCGCCCACACGAGTCTCGCCTCCTTCACCCTGAAGTGCAGCTCGCTCCCACTGCGCAGGCACACAAACCGAGGCTCGAGGAGGAAGAGAAACTCCTCTAGAGCGAAGCAAGCATATGGCAGAGCTGGGAATAGAACTCAGGCCTCCAGACACTCCCGGGAGTCCCCTGGTCTGAGCTTCCCCACCTATGATGTCCAGCAGCTCAGAGAGGGCGAGTGGTGCTTCCGGGTCACACAGCGCTGGGGCACAGCCAGAGGCCCTCACTCCCTGGCTTACCAGACTCCTGGGCGGGTCATCCAGCAACACACCAAAACCAAGCTAAGATTTCCAGCTGTGACCCAGCCCCTCCCCTCCCCTCTCCTCAAGAGGCCTGGGGGCGGGGGGAGGGGAAGGCTTTAAAGGCACAGGAACTGCTCTAGGTGGGACAAGGGCTGGCTCCTGGTCCCATCCCTGGGGCTGTGTGATCTGGGTCGGCTGCAGGTCTCTCTGAGCCTGGTGGGGTCTCAAACCCTGAACGAGAGACCTGAGCTCTGAAGGCCTCAGTTCCGTGGGAGATGGGGCCACGGAGCTGGGGTGCAGCCAGCCGCCCACGTCAGGAGGGGCTGGAGGTGTAAGCATCTGAGGCCCCACAAGGTCTGAGGAGCCTAGATTACCTCTACAACCCCAGGGCAAGGGATGCCTCTCCTAACAGGCCCTCTCTCCAACTTTCAGGGCTACAGGTGGGGCCTTAGGGGCTGTCACTCCAAGGACGCTTGTCACCTGGACTGCAGGGAGTCACATGATCCAGAAGGGTCCTTCCTCAACCCCCAATTTCAGGGGTCTGAGCAGGCAGGCTGACAGAGGACCCCAGGCAGTGGAAGCAGGGGGATGAGGCCCTTCCGTCCACCACGCCCTCAGCCGCTCTGACCCATTCAATGAGATGGGGTGGGTGCCCCCACAGGGCTGGCAGTCCCAAGCCTCTCAGCCCTCAGATCGAGGTCCACACATGGTCTGCAGCCTGCCAGAATTGTCACTCTTAGCATGGCACACACTTAAATTCATTATTTTATTCCATCATTCATTGTCCCATCTAATCCTGGCCCCTCCAGATTCATCTCTCAAGGAGCCCTGACCTGGTTGGGCATGAGATAGTATGGTCAGCCCAGGGGAAAGAGCCCTAGGGGAAGCAGGTACCAGAACAGGGGCCTTGGGAATCTAGCCTATGCTGGGATTGGATCTGGGGAGGGCTTGCTAGGCCGAAGGAACCACCTGGGCCTGAAGGCCGGGAACTGAGCCTTTTCCAGGAGGTGAGGGCTGCGGGGCACCTCTTGACCACTCTAAGCCCTGAGGTGTCAAGGCTGGAAAAGGAGGTGGCTGAGCTAAGACCTTCAAGGCCAGGTCAGCCTGGACTTTGAGAGCCCTGGGAGGGTGGTGAATGTGTCACTGGATCCAGTAACCATTAACCTTGGCTCACTCATTAAGACCCTGGTAGGTGTCCATTAGCTCCTTGGCTGGTTCCAGGATCTGGGCAGAGGGCAGGGGTTCTGGGAAGAAGGGAGTGCTGATTGGGGTGCGAGGTGGAGGCTGGTTGAACTGGCTCTCTGTGTCCTTGTTCCGTGAGAAGGGTTCCAGGGCCAAGCTGGCTTCCAGCCAGGGGCAGCAGCCAACACAGCCCGGGGCAGGTGCCGCCCGGGGCAGGTGCCACCCTACCATGCTAGCGACTTTTATCTCCTTATCACCCCTGTGTGCTGGCACCAGCAGCCCACAGTGCCTCGGGGCCTCGGCCAGACAGGAGGCTCAAAGAGCTAGTCCAGTGCCTGGCTCAGCATCCATCCAGACTGCCCCTCTGAGAAATGAGCCCACCATGGCCTCCAAAGCCCTGTCTGTTTCAATAAGTTGGGATCTGTTCCACCTCTGTATCTGGGGCAAGAAGGGAGCTCCTGGCATAGGAACCTGCAACCTGAGACGGGAAGGGAACTGCCCAAAGACAGTGACCCGTGACCCAGCAGGACAGTGACCCGTGACACCAGAAAGACTGTGCAAACCTCTTCCTGCAACTGATGTCTCATGCTGCCCCACGCCACTGTCAGGTCCAGGAAGCCGACCACACTGAGTACCAGGAATCACCCAGAAAACCTTGTGCCCTGTGGGGGTCAGGGTGAGGGCCATGGCGGGGCAGGGTCGGGGGGCACATGAGGGCGAGATATCCCGAACTGCAGTCATGAGCCTCTCAATGAGCAAGCGATGCAGATGGATCCAGATGCAAGACGTGCCTGGCCCATACTCCAGAA